ATGAAGTGAATCGAAACTTCAGTAATAACTTGAAGGAGCTGCGACGCCGTAGGCAAGGAAATTTGTTTAAAAAAAACACATTTGATGGAAGTAGTCCCCGGGGCGAACCTGTTCATTCTTCGACCTGTGCCGCAGACGTCAATCAAAACGCGGATTTGGGCGATAGCCCTAGACCCAGTCTTGACATTACCAGCGACACTTTGACAGACGACAGCTCCGAGATTTCCGAAGAGAGAACCGTCAGATTCGAGGACGAAGCAGATGGAGCTTCTGAAACTTCGACAACTTCGCCGGAAACAGATTTATCCCCTAGATCGTCTCTGGATTCGTCCACAGGTCTAGACAGTTCGACGGCAAGTCAAGATTCGATCGCAAGTCAAGACACGGTCGTAAGTCGAGATTCAGTCGACAGTAATGATTCCGGTGCTAGCCTGGATACTGTAAACGGAAGTCCGGAATCAGGGGAAAATCCTGATACACCCGGAAGTCCCGATTCAGGCGAAAATCCTGATTCAGGTGAAAGTCCTGGGGACTCTCCTGGAGGTTCTAAATCCTCCTCATCAAGTTCAGGGTCGTCAGATACGAAAAAAAGAAAGAAACGGAAAAAGCGAGGCGTGTTTCGCAAGCTGTGGACGTCCTCCCCCGAGGAGTACTGGCTGCTGAAGATGATGATATGGTTCCCCGTGGGCATCGGCCTGTCCGCTCTGCTGTATTACATGGTGATCGAGAAGACGAGCATGGAGCTGAAGACGAAGCAGGTCATCGGTGCCGGGCTCGGGTTCGTTCTCTCGCTCAGTTTCGCCGCCAGCGTCCAGATGCGCTGTGTCATGACGCTGATCGTCCCCATCATGGTGGGCAAGGCGGGCAGGACGTACATATCGGCGTTTGCTCTGATTTATTTAATCAACGGCCCGATCACGAACATAATGGACAATGGTAAGGTGAGTGGCGAGGTGGGGCTAGGGGGGAATGGGATCGGCGCTTCAGGCCATGGGGCAAAGGTATGGAGAATGGTCAGTGAGGGGGAGGGGCGGTATTATGTGGCTGTAACAGTAAGATGGGGGGTGGGGAAGTGTGGTCATGGAAGAATGGAAATGTAAGTGTGAAGGTTGATTTTTCTAAGAACTATTGTTGTGAACGCTGTTCAATGTGATATTAAAATTTGGCGGGACGTAATCATATTTGTAGTACTGAAACAGTTAATTTGACCATTTAGCAGACGATAATGGAGTGGTAATTATTGTATGGTCAGTAGGCCTAACTTGAATAATGCATTCTGTTGTGTATGTAGAGAAAAGAGAATTTAAGAATGGCGGTTCCTATGCTCAAATTATTTCATTTATCCAACTGAAATGTCAAAATTAAAGTTTAATATAAACAAACACACTCACAGGATATCGTACGTTCGCTGAGCTGCACTTCCGCCCTGCTCGCTAATCACACGAAAACGAAATGGAAGCTGCGCTTACTTCCGGTAGAGACAGCGTTTGGTGACCTTGCCAAGGACGGAGCCCTTATAAAAAGGGTAAATATAAACAATTGTGTTCAACAGCATCGTCCTGATGATATATTGGGAAATATTATTTTTTGTTGTTGTTTTTTCGTGAAAATCATACGAACTTAAATTGTGATGATAGCTCAAATAAAAAATAAAGAAAATTTGAAATGCAATTGATGTTCTGCCTACATTTGCTTACCTCCCCTTCATGAATGCTACAAAACATTTTCAAATGACGTACACCATTGTGTGAATGATACGGTGACTACTGTAACTATGCGTAGTGTTGTTTTTTTTAATAGTTACTTGTACTCCACTGGTTATTTGGAAATGAGTCCTGTTTTGTCGTAAATTGTACCCAGTACAGTTTTAGACTACACAATTAAAATATAAAAGATTTATCTAACAAAAATTTGGCTTCATTTTTTATATTCAGGCACATATAAATAAAACAAAAAAACGGAATGATCGAACTCGCCATCAAAGATACTAATCTATTATTGTCACTAAAGTCACAAAGACAGTAAAGATTTCAAACGCTCTAACAAAATAATTGTTATTTTTTTGCACCAATGGTGCCATCCGATTTCAAACGGTGCTGTCTTTTTTATAGTATGACCTTTGAACTCTAGCTTCGATAAATAGATGCAGACATTTATTGTCACTTCAACGTTATGCTTAAAAATAGTTTGCAAAAGTAATGATGTACTAGTAGGTGTATCAGTGGGTGTACTAGTAGGTGTATCAGTGGGTGTACTAGTAGGTGTATCAGTGGGTGTACTAGTAGGTGTATCAGTGGGTGTACTAGTAGGTGTATCAGTGGGTGTACTAGTAGGTGTATCAGTGGGTGTACTAGTA